CTAAAGTGCTATAGGACTACTCATTGTTTATGAAGGGACAGTATACAACTGTTGGCCGAACAAAGAGTTCATAGCACAAACCCATTGTAGGCAGTATTTGGAGTACTTCTGCAATACTTTCAAAACCAAAACCAATTAAGTAGTAGAATTACCACTGCTGCTTCCAGTACAGATTCCAAAAATTATGCTGCTGGCTTCCGATATGCATGTATAACATCAAAGTCTGGCCTGTAATATTCCTATCATGATGAAAAGGTTTGCATGAGATTTCATCTCTCTTCATGAGCACACAAATGTTGACCCATTTTCCCCTCTGATCTTTCAGAGATGATTTCTCAGGTCAGAAAGGGATTTTAGCAGTACAGCCTGTTAAACCTGTTAGCTACGTCTACACTGGCAGGATTTTCTGAAAATGCTTTTAACGGAAAAGTTTTCCGTTAAAAGCATTTTCGGAAAAGCACATCTAGACTGGCAGGATGCTTTTCCGCAAAAGCACTTTTTGTGGAAAAGCGTCCGTGGCCAATCTAGACGCGGTTTTCCACAAAAAAGCCCCAATCGCCATTTTTGCGATCGGGGCTTTTTTGCGGAAAACAGTACTATGCTGTTTACACTGGCCCTCTTGCACAAGTGATTTGCACAAGAGGGCTTTTGCCTGAACGGGAGCAGCACAGTATTTCCGCAAGAACACTGACGATCTTACATGAGATTGTCAGTGTTCTTGTGGAAATTCAAGCGGCCAGTGTAGACAGCTGGCAAGTTTTTCCACAAAATCAGATGATTTTGCGGAAAAACTTGCCAGTCTAGACACAGCCGTCGGGTTTGACTTCTAATACTTCTGCATTCTTACTAATATGTGTGTAGAACAAAGTCACTGTGTGGTGCATATCCAACAAGCAGATGGGATATAGTATAACAAGACAGAAAAGGAATGGAAGTAAAAGTGTTGCTGGTGATGGGGGACAGTTTAATATAGGAACACACACTTGGGGTGTGTCCAGACTCAGGGGTTTTTTCGAAAAAAGTAGCCTTTTTTCGAAAAATCTTCCCCTGCGTCCAGACTCAAGCCGCGTTCTTTCGAAATTATTTCGAAAGAACGCGGCTTTTCTTTCGATGGCGGTAAACCTCATTTCACGAGGAAGAACGCCTTCTTTCGAAAGTTCCTCTTTCGAAAGAAGGCGTTCTTCAATGTAAATAGGGCTTCTTCAAAAGAGAGCATCCAGACTCACTGGATGCTTTCTTTCAAAAAAGCAAGCCTCTTTTTCGAAATTTCTCCGTGCAGTCTAGACGCTCTCTTTCGAAAGAGGCTCTTTCGAAAGATGCTTTCGAAAGAGCGTCTTTCGAAAGAAGCCTGCAGTCTAGACATAGCCTTGATGACTGTCTCAGCTTCTTATTTCAAATCAAGCTTAAGCAAACAAGGCAGGAGAAGGGAACAGCGGATTGTTAGATTTCTGTGTATCTTGACTAACACACTGGGGAGCATGAAACCACTTGAGAAATCCTGACTTGGTGCATCAGAGTTTTAACACTCCGAGCTTTCTTTGAATGTCCGATTTTTGTGTAGCCTACAGTAAAGCATAGACAGATGCAGGGGAGGGATCCCAAGCTACCTACTGCTGCCTGATCTCCAGACCCATCACTGAGTCTCCCAATAGCCCAGGTGTCAATGCAAACAGCCTTCAGCCTTCGCCCTGCACTTCGCATTTTAAAGCCACTGAAACCTGCCAACATACCCAGGTACCTGCTAGAAGGGAGCTGCTGTCACCAGAAGTCTTCACTCTACAGGACAAGGAGTCATCAGAGAAGTAGCACAGGCAGCAGGCAGTGTGTGTTCAGCTAGGGAGGCAACTGCCTTTATGAAGCATGTTTGCACATTCCCCTGGGGGCTACTTGACCATCCAGGAGTCTCAGCTGCTTGGCTTTGTCTGCAGCACCAGCTTTAATGCTCATATTCAATAGCAAACTACAGAGGCCAAATCACAGGGGTTTCAAACTTGCTGCAGGCTCCATTCTTGGAATCGGGGCTTGTCTTCATGTTTGTCATGGTTTCGATTAGTCATATGACTCCCTTGGGGGCAGCTGAGTGGCAGTGATGATGCTGTCACATCTCTGATCTTGCTGAATTAAAATATAGAATAATAAGAAGAAATAACAATATGGTATCAGATTTCTCCTCAGCAGCTGTATTTTCTTGCATTACAAACCCAACCTCCAGACTGCGAAATTCCCAGCAGATTCCACAGTGTTTGGAAATTTCCCTTGTATTGTTGCTGGGAGCAGCCAACAAGGCACAGATTGCTCATTAATTACCCTACTTTGTACATTGCCTCTGAGGCATCCTAATATAATGAAATCACTATGATGAATATGGGGTCAAAATAGCTTTGGAAATGTCTGCACAGGCACTGTGATAAGAGTGGGCTAGATGGAACATGGACCATGCTTATGTTCTTAATTTCCTCCACTAATGGACGGGCTGCTGCAGACAAGCTTGTTCCAAGGGATCCCTCGGTTTTAGAGCTGACATGGGCCCCCTAGCAGACGGCCAGGGCCTGAGGAGTGGCAGGTGGGAGGGAGATGGGAGATGAAGGCTTCCACCTAGGGGTGTGGTCTGGTAGCACCAAACAGAGAGGCTCATGGTTTCAACTAGAGCTGGACTGGACAAGAGAGAGTTCCACCCTCGCTCCAGGGAAACTTGTGACCGAAAGTAAAATGTTTCCTTTTCACCCATTCTGGGGGTAAATTTTCATGGAAGAGGGATCGTTTGTCTCTGAAAGCTCAGCTGCCCGGGTGCTGCTCTCCTGCGGGTGTCTCAATGTGCAAGAGGTTCAGAGACACGGAGATGCTTCCCTGCCCTTCGTGGCTAACAGCGTTTCATAGAATTCTCCTCAAAATGTGTGGTGTTGTTTGATTTGATCAGTTTATACTTCTGATTTTCACAATATCCCATGGCAATGAGTTCCACAGGCTCACTGCATTGGTTGAAGAAATGCTTCCTTTGGGTTGTTCAAAACTTGCTGCCTGTTAACTTTGTTGGGTAACCTGTGATCTTTTTCAAGGGGTAACCAACATGGCCTTATTCACTTTCTGGACACCGCTCATAGTTTTATTATCTCTTTCATAACCTGGGGTAGTCCCCTTTTTTGCAACCTGAGCAGTCCTCGTCTTTTCAATCTCTCTTCACCCAGACACATTACGTTTGGAAATGAGATATAAATTTTTAACAGCAAGAGTGCTTAACCAGTGGGAGAAAAACTCCCATGGGAGATGATAGAATCTCTCAGTTGGTCCTAATCAAGCTGAGATGCCTTCACTGGAAATACCTTTTAGAAGAACAAATGTTGAGCAAATAAAAGTCATTGAACTCAAAGAGGTACTAGGGATAATTCTGCAGCCAGTGATGTATAGTGGTTCAGACTAAATGATTTTAAGTTCCATTCTGACCTAAAATTCTGTGGCTGAATAAGAACATAAAATGGCCCTATTGGGTCAGACCAAAGGTCCATCTTGCCCAGAATCCTGCTTTCCAACACCTGCCAATCTCAGGTGAATGAACCGAACAGACAATCGTCAAGTGATCCACCTGTTGTTGCCCAGTTCCCGTCGTCCATCCAACAGAGGCTAGGGACACCATATCTGCCCGTCCTGGCTAGTAGCCATTGATGGACCTATCCCCCATGAATGTATCTAGTTCTCTCTTGAGCCCTGTTATGTTTGGCCTTCATGATTTGTTTTGTTTGTTTTAAACTTTCTGTCTATTCATTTCACCCTCAAAACGATCCGCTCCATGGGTCCAGGCCTTAGAGACCATCTGAGCCTCTCTCTACAGAGTGGAGATCAGTAGTTCATGTCACCTCGGATGTCGGGGCTGTGATAGGGTGCAGTCACAGAAGACCCCTTGGGGGTGCTTCCCAGTGGGTTGACAAAGCCACTGACATTTACCTTGTTCTCTGGGGCTTCTCACCACCCTGTCCTGCTGGGCCAGATCTCCTGCTCTCCCCCAGCCAAGGCACAGAGGTGAGATCAACATCCCCCGGAGGAGCAGTCAGACACTGACGGTCTTCAAGTCTGAGGAAAATGCAGTTTCAGCCCCAGCTTCTAGGGAAACCACTCCCCAAATGGGATCAGAACCCCAAATAAATCATTCACGTGAGCACCCTTTAACAATGAAAGGAGGATGTGCACACTGATTGCTCCCACAAGTAACAATCATTCACACTGGGCTTAATAGTAAATAAAAGTGATTTTATGAAGTGCAAAGAGTAGGGTTTAAGTGGCTGCAAATGAAAACAGGCAGAACAAAGTAGGTTACAAGTTTAAAATAATAGGACTAGCAATTCATTTTCTAACACAAGCAAAATACAAATTTCCCCTAAAACTGTTCTTATTTCAGCTAAACCTCCATTCCAGGGGAGTTCCTTCTTTCTTGGGGTCTCTGGTTCATTCTCCTAGGAGGGACATGCCAGCCAAAGACCAAGAACTGAAAAACTTTGCATCTTAAATAATCTCAATTTTTAGGTGGGAATTCTGTTTCTACATTCCACCCTTCCATGGAAAATTATCTGGTCAGACCCTACCAGTTAGGTGGGATCATATAACCTCTTAAGACCAACAACTGCTTATACTTAAAGGACAAAAGAGGCTGTTTAGAGGTGATCACCCACACATAGAGGGAAACACCCTTTATGGCTTTCATTTGCATATTTAAAACCAGAAAGCATACCCTACCCTATATCTCTAACTTTACATACAAGAATGATACATACACCAAAATAAGATATACAGATACAGCAGACTGAGACGTTAATATTGATAGGTTAAACGATGCTTTTGTACAAAGCATCTTCGATTTATGCACATAGATATACATAAGTCAATTTCATACAGCAAACAAGGGGGAAGGGCAGTCCATTACAGGGGGCCAATGATGGAAGAGGTGCATGTGACCCATATTTTCCATCTCCCTCATCACCAGGGCTGTATCCATGTAATGAACTGACTCTTCACTTGACAAACAGCTTGATTATCCTCATGCGCAGATTTTTGCTTTTCACGCTATACACGATCGGGTTCATTAGGGGTGGAACCAGCAGATATATGAATCCGAGGAGAATCTGAAGCCAGTGAGAAGAGCTATTTCCAAATCTGTGTATCATAGAAAGACCAATCATTGGTGTGTAGAAGAGCAGGACGGCGCAGAGGTGGGAGACACAGGTGTTCAGGGCCCGGACGCACTCCGCATGCGATGTGACGCTCATCACCATTTTGAAGATCATCACATATGAGAGGAGGATGAGCAAAGAGTCCAACCCCACCGTGGAGAGCATTATGAATAAGCCATAGATATTGTTGACTGTGATGTCTGCACAAGCCAGCTTCATGACCTCATTGTGCACACAGTAGGAATGGGAGAGGACATTGGCTCGACAGTATCGGTAGCGTTTTAGGAGAAATGGATATGGAAATGCTAAAGCCACCCCTCTTAGCACAAACACCTGTCCCATCTTGGCCATTCTTGGTGCGGTTAAGATGGAAGTGTATCTCAGTGGGTCACGGATCGCAATGAAGCGGTCAAAGGCCATCGACAGGAGCACAGAGGATTCAATGTATGAAAGCGAATGGATGAAGAACAACTGGGCAAAACAGGCATTGAGGCTAATCTCCCGAGAGTGAAACAAGAAAACACCCAGTGTTGTCGGCATAGTGGTTATGGATAAGCCAAGGTCTGTGATGGCCAACATGGAGAGGAAAATGTACATGGGCTCATGGAGGCTTGGGTCTGTTTTTATAATGAACAGAATACCTGTATTTCCCATTATCAATATGGCATAAATAAAGCACAAGGGGATAGCGATCCAGATATGGACGTCTTCGTGCTCTGGTATCCCAGTGAGAAGGAAAACTGCAACCATGGATTTGGTGTCATTAGCAGTTGACATGATGTACTGGGTAGATCTGGGGAGTTTTGAATTTTCCTTCCTGAGAGGATAAAGAATAGAAGACTAGACAATATTTTACTAGATAATATTCAGCTCTCAGAACGTAAAGGGTGTTTATGACACAAGAACCCCAGTAGCTCAAGGAAGATGAGCAAAAATATAGTCATGGATTTACACCTCTGATGGGAAATTAGGGGCTGTCAAGCTGGGTGAGGCCAGTAGTCCATGTAGCCCAGTATCCAGTGGCTAGTACAAGGACCTGCAAATGAAGTGGAGGAAACCCTTAATTAGATGCTACGAGATGACCTGCTCCCAGGTAAAGCTCCCCCCTCCCGAGTCTCAGAAATTAGAGTATTTTAGGGTGATAATCATGAGTGTTGATAGATCTTCAAAAACTTCTCAGAAAATCCTCACTTGTGAAATTTGATTTTCTGGTTATCCATATAAATATCCAGCTCCTTGCTGAATCCCTGTAAGCTCTTGGCCCCATGGAAATATTGTGGCTGGGATTTCCATGGCCTACTTGAATTCTGTGTGGTTTTATAATGTTAACCTTCCCAAACCCACACTTTCTGCTTCTGCATTTCTGAGTGTGGCCCATTTTATAATGCCATTGAAAATGAATGGGGAGAATTTTCATAGAGGTTATCTGTCCTTCAGATAAATTTATTATAGATATTCCATATTTTCTCCAGTCCTGAGACTGCCAATTATGCCTCTGCATTTCTGCAGTACATGGGATTCATTCTTAGGCCCATTTTCTGGACTCAATAACATTGCATTCAAGAGTGCCGAGCTTATATGTATAAATTAGATCAGAACCAGGTTGTATTAACTTTCCCTTACCAAATGCTCCCAGTGATACCCTCTGATCCCCAAGAACCCCTCCAAGTGAAGCTGAAGTGCTTTGCCTGGCCAGTTTTTACCTGTGAATAGTGCAAACACTAGGGCTACGTCTACACTGGCACCCTTTTCTGGAAATGCTTAAAACGGAACAGTTTTCCATTATAAGTATTTCCGGAAAAAGCGTGTCTACATTGGCAGGATGCTTTTCTGGAAAAGCACTTTTTCCGGAAAAGCGTCCGTGGCCAATGTAGACGCGCTTTTTCGCAAAAAAGACCCGATCGTCATTTTCGCGATTGGGGCTTTTTTGCGGAAAAGACTACTGTGCTGTCTACACTGGCCCTTTTCCGGAACAGTTTTTCCGGAAAAGGACTTTTACCCGAATGGGAGCAGCATAGTTTTTCCGGAAAAACAATGACAATTTGACATTAGATTGTCATTGCTTTTCCGGAAAAGCAAGCGGCCAGTGTAGACAGCTGGCAAGTTATTCCGGAAAAGCGGCTGTTTTTCTGGAATAGTTGGCCAGTGTAGACACAGCCTAGGGATGTGTCTAGACTACATGACTCCGTTGACATGAAACGAGACATACAAGATCTGCCAACAAAGGGTTCCGGGGTTGGCTGATCCCCATCTAGACTACTGCGCTGTGCCAGTTGTTGAATATCATTTAATCCCATCGCCCTTTTAAACATGCTTGGTAACTTGGTAACTTGCACACTCAAATGGATTAGTGCAACCCTAGGGTGTGTCTAGACTACATGGCTCCGTCGACGGAGCCATGTAGTCTAGACACACCCTAGGGTTGCACTAATCCATTTGAGTGTGCAAGTTACCAAGTTACCAAGCATGTTTAAAAGGGCGATGGGATTAAATGATATTCAACAACTGTTAGACTCTCCTTCCCTACATCTCAGCTCCACTCTTTGCTGAAACACAGATCAGTGGTTCTGTTCTCTGAGGGCTTTTGGAAGACCTTGCACAGGTATTGCAGAGTTACTGACTGTGTGACTGCAAATTTCATTTGTAGAAATAGCTTTAGCTCAGTTACTAAGGGACAGGAACATACAACTGTTTGCTGAACAAAGAGGTCACAGCACAAACCCATTGCAAGCACTATTTGGCATACACCTGAAATACTTTATAAACCAAAACCCTTTAAAGCACCATTTATGTTAATAATGTTCCTTCCTGTACATATTCCAAGAATTATGCTTCTGGCTTCTGATATGCATACATGACATCAAACGTTGGCTTGGTATATTTCTATTATGATGAAATGTTTTCCCCTTGGGAGCAGGGGACTGCACTCGACCTCTCGAGGTCCCTTCCAGTCCTAGTATTCTATGATTCTATAAGATACCACATCTCTACATTAGCACACACATATCAAACCATTTCCCTGCTCTGATCTTTCAGAGAATATTTCTCAGGTTAGAGAGGGATCTTAACATTAGAGACTGTTTCTTAGCCTGAGAGAGAATTTTGGGTTTGACTTTTACTACTTCTACACCCTTGCTAATATGTGTGAAGAACAAGGATGCCATATGATGCATTTCCCACAAGCCAATGGGGTTTTTAGTACAATGAGACAGATAAGGAATGGAGCTGAAAGTGTTGCAGGTGATGAGGGGGTAGTTTAATATAGGAACACTCACTTGATGACTGTAGCAGCTTCTAATTTCAAATCAAGATTAATCAAACAGGGCAGAGGAAGAGATTAGTGGATTGCCAGATTTCTGAGTATCTAAAGTAACATATTGTGGAGCATGGCACCACTTGAGAAATCCTGAATGAGGGCATCAGGGTTTTAACACTCCAAGCTTTGTCTGAGTGCCAATTTCTATGTAGCTCACACAACCTTCAATGAATCATGGACAAATATAAGGGAGGGACGCAAGCTCCCCAGCACTGCCTGCCCTCCAGGTCATCACTGAGTCACCCCGACAGCCCAGCAGAGTCCTCTGCCGCTGCACAGAACAGCTGCCAATGCAAACAGCCTGCAGCCTTCGCTCTGCACTCGGCATGTAACAGACAGTGAAACCTGCCCACATACCCAGTTCCTGCTAGAAGGGAGCCGCTGGCACCAGAGGTCTTCATCCTACAGCACAAGAAGTCATCGGAGAGGTTGTGCGAGCAGTGTCTTTTCAGATGGGAAGGCAACTGCCTTTATGCAGCATGTTTATACCTTCCCTTGGGGCCACTTGGCCATCAGGGAACCTCAGCTGATTAACTTTGTGTGAGCCAGCTTTAACCCCATCACACCTGACAGCAAATCACGGGGGATGGAATTTTGTTGCGGGTTCCATCCTTGGAATCTGGGTTTATCCTCATGATCCTTATGGTTCCAATTAGACACATGACTCCCTTGGGGGGGGGGGGGAGAGGGCTGCAAAGTGGTAACAATGATGATATCACAGCTGTGATCTTGCTGAATTAAATACATAATAAAATACTACTACTACTACTACTATTACAAGACCAGATTTCTCCCCAGCATCCTCATTTTCCTGCATTACAAACTGAACGTGCGGGCCAAGGAAGGGAGATTCCACAAGACTCCATGTATGGAAATTTCCCTTGGATTGTTCCAGAAGGGGAGGTGCCTTCTCTTCTCCCTGAAGAATGAAAGAGAGGACCCAAGATCCACGGATCCCCAAAAGCAGGCACAGGTCTCAGTGACCCACTACTAGTGACCCCTTCACCTTCGCCCAGTTTCTCTGTCTCCTCTACTGATCTAGGACCCTCACTGGCTCCCTGCTAGCACAGGCTCCATAGAGATATGCTTCCATAACCTGTTGTAGAAGCCACTGCCTGCAGGGCCTGCTGAAGGAGGCTTTACTTAGTTGGGAAGAGTGTCTAAAGTAGCTAATGGGCACAGGAAACCAGCTGTAGCCTGGGCAGGAGATACTGTCTCTTCCCAGAATGAGTCTCTAAAGTATGTCAGTGCAACATTCATTTATCTGAACAGAGGCAGATGAAACACTTCTAATTTCTCTGGCACGTTAATCAGAATTGTGCTAGGGTTAGCTTGGATGTTTAGTTATTAGGTAAGCTGCTTTGATCTGTTTGCTATCACTTAAAATCCATCTCTCTGAAATTAATAAACTTGTTTTATGCTTCATCTTAGAATCATAGAATCATAGAATAATAGGACTGGAAGGGACCTCGAGAGGTCATCGAGTCCAGCCCCCCCCCCCGCCCTCAAGGCAGGACCAAGCTCTGTCTACACCATCCCTGACAGATGTCTATCTAACCTATCTAATAGAAGATATCTAATCTTCACCTGTATGTTTTGGGCTAAGTGTTGGGGGATGATCACAGCTCTGTGTACAAAGGCGATTGCAAACCATTCCCACATCAAAGGAAAAATACTCTATATTAATTAGCGTACACTATACAGACACTGGGCCGTGCAAGACAGTATCATTCTTGGTTTAAAATCCAGCAAGGGTTCAAGGAGCTAGGTGGAACGAGGTGTACCGGTAGTTCGGAATAGGAATCCTAGTTCGAACTACCTAGTTTGAGCCCCGTGTAGCCGCGCTGCACGGGGTTCGAACCAGCGGGGTTTTAAAAATGGCGGCTCCCCGCTTATGCAAATGAAGCCCGGGAAATTCAAATCCCGGGCTTCATTTGCAAGTGCGGTATGCTAGTTCGAACTAGGAGGGTAGTGTAGACATACCCTGAGGTAGGTCAGTGATGCGTGTGGTGTAATCTCCTCTCATGTTGGTTGATAACAGGGCTTGTAGAGGCTAGCACTGTCACCAACAAAGCAGTGTAAGATTGGGCAGCCTAACCTGAGATTTTGGGGGCACAACAGTTCCATGGGCTTCCAGACTGCCCCCGTGGGTGTCACAGTGGCTGGTGTTCCTCAGCTTCCTGGTTTATCGGTACTCTGCCTGGAGGCAATGCATCTGGATAGTTGTGTAAACCTAGGCTATGTCTACACTGGCACCACAGGCCCTGCAGGCAGTGGCTTCTACAACAGGTTATGGAAGCATATCTCTATGGAGCCTGTGCTAGCAGGGAGCCAGTGAGGGTCCTAGATTCTGCACCAGAGCTATGCAAATGAGGCTAAGCATGGAATATCGCCAAGCCTCATTTGCATATCTAATGAGCTGCCATTTTTGCGGAAGAGGCTCTTGTGCAATAAGGAGCTG